TGCAAACTCACATGTATGCAATAGTATCATGCATAGCATTTGCGGTAGAACGCCGTTTTTCAAGTTTTCCTGACCTTTTGGAGAGGATGTGATCAAAGAAGTCACCTTGTTCAAGTGGATCACGTCGACACGTATTTGCTTCGACCACATTCATGCCTAAACTCTCACAACTCAAAAATGGAAGAATATTGGGTAAAAATTAGCTAGTCAAGCAAAGTGACGCTAGTACAGATTGAAAACGACATTAATAACGCAATGAAAAATCCGCTTGGAAAAAAAAGCAGTAAGCATGTTTTCCATAGCGCTAACAATCTCACTAGCTTCGAAAGTTTGCTTGAAATCGTAAGTAAACATAAATTTGTTGCAATTTACATCGAATGGAAGTGAAATGATTGATCATAAGTGGCATTAGTCTTCGGGTCAACTCAGCCCAATCATGACGTGGGAACAGCAAATCTGGAACACGTCTCCAAACATCACTAGAAAATCTGTCGGAAATGCAATCTCCAAGCACTTCTCCGATTGCCTAAAATACTTAACATCTTTTGAAGACGGGGATATAATATGAAACAAGAAAAAAGAAGTTAGAAAATTGAAACTTACCCCATCGATACATTCTTCTACACTGCTTAGTCCAGACTTCACTTCATCAGCTAAATCTTTATTGGAAAATTTCGATGGCAGACTGCTAAGCCACACAAACATATACGGTTTTAAAGTGTCTGCGATGAACCATCTAAACAGATAATATTGAAATCAAAACGTGCCCATATCAGAAACATGCATACATGTTGATTACACCAATACACTATGCACATGCAAAAAGGGCAAAGAAAGATAAACCCCAGATGTAACAACAGCTTCTACCTCAATTCAGCAAGCGCACTCGTCTCCCATGCACGTCCGCCACTAACAAGACTTCCTGAGGGCACTTTTATCGCAAAATCTTTCTTCCCAAATGGATTCTTTACAATTACTAGTCCTGCAAGACCACAAATTGCATGTAAACACTAAGAAATGAAAAAAAAA